TGAAAAATCAATAAAATCCAAAATTAATCTTATACTATTTTTTGTTAATTTTATATAAAAATCAGTAAAACAAACACAATTATCAAGTTTCCCAACAATATATTTATGAAACAATTTTAACAATAATATAAAAAGTAATAGATAATCATAAATAAAATTAAAATGAGCATTAACCTTAATTATTTTGAAATATGTTCCTGTTCCTACAAAAAATAACAGAAAAAAATGTATATCAAGTAATAAGAATTTCAAAAAGAAAAGAAGATAAAAAGTATAAATCGCAAAATTTACTTCACATTACTTCATAATCAATGTATTAAAATCTGAAAAAAAAAAGACCTATTAGTATATTAAATAATAAGAATTCAGCAAAAAAGAGAGAAGAATGAAAAGAAAGAAGATGATGGATTGTCAAAATTAAAGGTAATTTACGAAAATATAAAGAGGAGAATGTAAAAGAAGAAAGAGAAACTGAAATAAAAGGAGAAGAAGCTCAAAGAGAGATGTTACCTGCGGAAAGGAGAAGGAGAAGGAGAAAGGAGAAAGGAAGAGGCAAGAAGATGAAAATCAAAAGACAATGAGATGTTCTGATGTTAGAGTGGTATTTATATCTCGAATATATTTGACAGAAATTTTGTCGAATATGTTTGAAATTTAAGTAGCTGAGAAATTCAATTTTTTGGTTGGGAAGGCGGGGGCAGTGTTATATTCGACAGCTATATGGCTGTCAAATATAGTCATAGTTTTTTGTCACGCCCCAGAACCCAAATCCGGGGACGCAACAGACGCCGTGCACTCGTGAGACAGGTCCCACAAGTGCACAAGGCTTGGAACTTATTCAAATCACAATCCGATACCACAAAATCTCAAGATAAAATTTTACAATCTGCTCTGATATTATAAAATCTCCAAATACACTCTAGCTTGCAAGAGCATGATTTATTTCTAAAATCTATGTCAATCTCAAAATGGCTAGCCTTCTAACTCGTTACTCCCCTTGGTTTCCCCGTCCTCGGTTTCGATTTCTGAAATGGTGGACAAGGAAAACTATGAGATAACTCAGTAAGTAAATACGGATAGCCCTTGGGTAAAACTTTTAAGCATGCCAGATAAACAGTTTAATATAACCAAAACGCTCAGTGACAAAATAAGATTCAGTTCAATTGGAAAGTATTCATGACAAACCGTTCATGCAGAATAAAACTCAGTTCAGTAGTCTCATCCATAAGTCATGGCCAGTGTTTAACACACTCCCACTGGCAGGCGTCAGTAATGGTACCAGTGTTTACAAACTCCCACTGACAGGCGTCAGTAATAGTGCCAGTGTTTACAACTCCCACTGGCAGGCGTCAGTAATAGTGCCAGTGTTTACAACTCCCACTGGCAGGCGTCAGTAATAGTGCCAGTGTTTACAACTCCCACTAGCAGGCATCAGTAATAGTGCCAGTGTTTAACCCCATAGGCAGGGTGAACCGGTTCCACAGAAATACATGTCGACATGTGCTAGCGTTTACAACTCCCACTAGCGGGCGTCAGTAATCATGACTATATCCGAGACAAATCCATGCAAGATTTACAGAAATACCCGAATTTCACAATCAATCCCGAATTTCAGAACAAACCGAAAAATTTCCATGCGGGCATGAATTTAACAGAAAACTCAACATTTACAAAATTCTCAGTTCATCAAAACAGTTCAGTCAATGCCCAAATAGGCATGTTCAACTCCAGAAAAACAATAAAATTCCCATTTTCATTTCTCAATCATGCTCATTTCCAGAAAATCAATAAAATCCTCATTTTCATTCCAATCATGCTCAATTTCAAAAAAACAAGGAAATTCTCAAGAAAATCATCCAAATTTTCATTTCAATTTAATCACACTCAGATGTTGATAAAATCAATTTAAAATTAATTTAAACCTTGCCACCATCTCAAAAACAATTGAAAACATGCTTTAAAATCGAAGGGCTTTACCATAATTTACTTACCTCACTCGCACAGAACAAAAGGCTAACCCAAGTGCCACGATGACAGAACGATCAAAACCTAATCACAATATTCCACCATTAATACCGCACAACCACAAATTCAAGTAAAATCATCATTAGCACTACCCCTAATCATAGTGCTATTTCTATCAATCTCCACATAACCGGATATCTCTAAATTCATTCTTATATCACAAACTAAACCTTTAAATCCCCGTTAATCATTAACCCTCAGTGTGTGAACAGTACCCGTGAACAGTACCAGTGAACAGTGCGTAAACAGTGACTGCACTTCCAAAATTGGCCAAACACTAGCTAATTCACGGGATTTTCTCCCTATAAACAACACAACAACTAAATCAAGAAATTTCTACCTCAACCAAGCTTACAACGTGTTTTATGCTACCCAAAATCATCCCATAATTCTAGCACAATCTCGGACAACACAAGCAACTAAATGGACAATACTTAATTGATAATTAGACATAAAAAAGGCTGTCCATCATACCAAGAAACTCCGGCGAGTAGCACCGGGTCCGACTGGGAAGGAAGCCGATGGGGAGAGGAATGGAGGAACTCACGACAAACCTCAAAATTCAAGAACCCACAACACAATTAGAGTAACCCAACTTGAATTAAGGCTAAAGGGATGATTCTTAGTCATTCCCTTACCAGAAAATCGGGAAGCACTCCATCAGCAAAAGCTACTCGCAGAAGGACAAAGCAGATCCGAAAATCTGCAGAAGGGAGGGGGATATTTCTAGGTTCAAGAACAAGAAAAGAAGGAGAAAACCCCCAAGCTTAGCCGGATTTCCGGCCGGAAATGGGTGACGGTAGTTGGGGGGGCTTCTCGGGTGCAGAGGGTCAAGGGGGCAGAGCATCGGGGAGAAGAAGAAGATGAGGATGAGCAAAACACGTGGCTAAGGAGAGAAATATCAGCCTTGATCCTTATCCTAATTTTCTTT